CCGTATGGTCTCTTCTGTGGACTGTGGCCCTACAGACTCCTATGTCTTTTGCCCTCCATCTTTCCTCCCAAATCTCAGGTTTTCTCCTTCATGAACCTTCTTGTACAGGCTATTTCATCCACATTGAAAACCTATTYCCCCCACAACACACACACACACCAGGTCCCTACTTTGTTTCTTACATRAAAATATACCTTTCAATAGATTTATTCTTAATTGGGAAAAACAAAATTTAAATTGTATTAAAGTAAGAAACATTTTGAGGCATTTACTTGAGAAAGGATTTTATTTGAGACCCAAAGAAAACTATCATTTCTGTTGCATTTAATTAAACATTTGTACATAAAAGTGTACAATAAGAGATAAACACACAAGCTGCAGAACAGGAGAGCCCAGGGGGACAACAAACAAATGAAGAAGAGTCSGTGTAAAATCATATGCTCCTCGGAGGGTCAGAAAGGGGCTGTGGCAATGAGCTGTGATGACTGTCGAGGTTTCAACTGCACAGCTGGATGCAGGAGGGCAGCCCTGGGACTCCTTCTTGCGGGCCAGGATGCAGAGGGTAATGATGGAGCAGCTGAGTGTGTGGAAGATATACAGAATTTGTACACATAGACAAGTCTGTCTCCAAGTTCTGCTTCTGAAAACTCATGAGGCATTGGGGGAAATGGTTTATGGTCCCTGAGCGTCTCACCTATAAAAAGGAAATAAGAATATTTATTTGCWTGATTGTTGTAAAACTTTAAAAACATTTTGTGTTTACAGAGAATCTAGCACACCTTAAGGGCTCCCTCTCCTAATGAACACCAGGACTGGACAAGCTACAGAAGGTGCTAGGGGAGAGGAGGAAAGTTTTGGTGCACACAGGCGAGCTTGGCTTCTTCAGGTTGGGTGTGTGCTGAGCTCAGCAGGACACCAAAATGCCTTTGACCCAGTTGAAGGAGAAGGCCCTGCATTGCCTGCCAGAGCCAAGCCTAGGACTCTGCACAGAACATCTGTGACTCTAGGGGCTGTGCAAGATGCAGGAACAGAGGGATGCCTGGCTGCCTTCCCCAGCTCCATGGTGCTCATGCTCCGCTCACTGCTGARCTGAAAATCTGATAGGGGCATTTCCTTTTGCTTTCTGCACATTTTGATAAAACTAAGAGGRACTGTGGGTCCTGACTCAGGGCCTGTTGGCACCAGGACACACTGAGGTGCCCAGGTATAGGAAAACATCTGTGTTCCTTGCTGTTGTCTTGTATTGATCAAATGTTTTGGAATTTGGCTGAATCCAGCCTCCACTTGGCCTGAGAACAGAAAGAGCAGAATGAGAGAGTCTGGGGTGCCTTCCTTGAGGAAAGTGGGGAATTCAGGCACAGTATCTCCAGGAAAAAAGTCTGAGGCTCATGATGCAGCTTCAGGAAGAAGCATTGTGCCTTTGGGCTCAGGCTTGGTACCCCTGGCTGAGAGATGAAGTGTCCCCCACCCCTGTCTCACTGCTCCTTATTGGAGAGCTGTCCAGTGATGCCAAGGTGCTGCTGTGAACCTCCTGAAGGCTTCCTGCAGTCCTGGAACCCATGATATCCATCTCTCTCTCCCTCCTCCTCCCCTACTGCTTGCAGGGTCCTTGCTGGGCACCTGCCCAGGAGCCGAGGACTGGGAGCCTATGATTAAACTCTCCTGTTCTAGCTCTGCCTGGGCCTCCTCACATTTTCTCTATGATGCAGGATTCAAACCAAGGTTTCTCTCTAAACTTTCCTTTCCCAGACTGTATTCCCAGCTCCTCTCCTGATTTGCCAGTGATGCAGAGTTGCAAAAATTTAATGCATCTGATCCAAAGGGAGCCTGAGTTTTCTAAATTATTAGTAGTAAGGGTTCCCCTAAAACAATCTTGCAACTCTAACAGCTACAATATAGAACCAGGTAGTTTGGAATTTACCACCCTAAAGATCATCCTATGCATTGCATGGTACAGAGTTTATGTTTTTCCTTCCATATCCATCCTGYGTTCAAAGGCTGACCCTGATGGACTATAGTAACTAAGTCCCCTTTCTCCTACTTCCTAGGTGAATTTAGCTTAGGGAAGACAATGTCAAGTGTGTGGAGAGAGGGAGGGCAACCAACCTTCCTGGTTTGCAAGATCTATTCTCCTGGCACCTCTCTTGCTAGAATGCATTCCCCAGGACCTGCTTTTCTCTTCTAAATGGCACAGTGCCTTGTAGAAAGCTTTCTATTGAAGCCACATCATACGAACTACCCAGGGCTTCAAAGCTTCTGCTCTTTATTGGAGGCCAACGTGAATAAAAGTCACCCACTAATCCTGGGCCCAGGTGCTGCTTCTTTACTTGCCAGTTTCCCTTAGCCTTCGGAGCTTTGCAAATAATCCATTCATTCTCCCTCCTCAGTCTTCCCAATATCCTAACTAAAAGACAAACAAGGGGAAATGAACCTTGAGAATATGTGTTGCCCTAAACAGTGCACAGATTTGTAACATGCTGCAATTATCCTTGCTAAAAGAGCCAGGAGAAACTGAGAAAGAGGCAATGTGAAAATAAACAGTGTGGCTTAGGGACATAGCAATCAAAGGAGATCCAGATCACCTGCTTTGCCTGAGGGGAGGCTGCAGCAGGGCATATTCACATTCTCTACAGGTGGACACCATGTTGCTCCTTCTGGATGCCCTCTGCAGCAACACCCTCCCACCCCCAGGAGCTGTGCCCCTCCCTGGGCCCCAAGGAAGAGAAGGAACAGTGACCAATGGAAAGAAGATGCTAATAATGTCAATAGCAGGATAACAAACTGAGGGAAGACAGAGGGACGCTCACCTTGTGATTTTGGAGGTGGAACCTTTTCAGCAGATGACAAAGGAAAAGCCACAAGGTTGCTACAGTGGAGCAGTTGAACGAGTTCCAGAAAAGGGCAACTCACGACATGGGGAGGGCAGAAATGTCTTAGGAGGCAAAGTCACGGAGCATAAAAGAAAAAACATCTAAAGCAGACTTCACAAAAAATTTTAAAAATCCAGTTCATTTAAAGACACTATTAAGAAAAAAAGAAAGGGCACTTGTCACTTTGTGACAAGACAGGCTCAGTAATGTATCATCAAAAGACTCCACTACAGACTCACTAGAATGGAAGGATTGAAAAGACTGAGAATGAACTGTGGTGAGGGTGGGCACCGGGAGCTCGCATCCCTTAGCATAATGTATCAGCAGCTACTCCAGAGAASTGTTAGATTGTTTCCCAAAAATGTTAAACAGGTACCTACAGTATGAGTCAGCAATCCCACTCCTAKGCCTCTACCTAAGGGAAGTGAATTCACATTCACAAAGAATTGCTACAAGAATATTCCATGCAGCTTTATTTACTAGAGTTGAAGACTGGTGTCAGCGAAATTGCTCTGAAAGAAAATAGAGAATCCTGGTCCATTACAGAAGGCAACTTTCCTCAGCAGTAAGAAAAAGTGAACATAGCTGCATGAATGCATTTCAAAAAATATCAATTTTCAAGGAATATTAATTAATAAAAGGTGGCACATAAGTCTACTTCTATGATATTCAGGAATAAACAAAACTYATCAATGATGATAGAAATCAGAAATGTGGTTACCTCTTGAACAGAAATAAGTTGTAAAGGAGCATGAGGAAGCTTTCTTGGGTGATGGACATATTCTTTATTGTGATTTYAATTGGTATTGCACTGAGGTGTGCATTTACCAAAATTCATCAAGCAGTCCACATATTGGTTTGAGCATTTTATTCCTGATTATACCTTAATAAAAATTACATCAAAGAAAATAAATTAAATGCTAAATGATGGGAGATSTGTATAGATGTATGCTCCTACTAAACCTTATCCTACAAAATCATCAAAGATGTAAACACACGTATTGCACAGAATGTTATGAGAAGTGATCAGTGGCTGAAATATAAAGCATCCAAATTCAGCATCAAAATAAGGCCAGTTAACAAGTTTGGAAAAAAAAGTCTGAGGATGATTCCAGAATAAAAACTGTAGACAAACACAAACTTAAAAAAAAAAAATACCCAAAGGCTGCTGAACTCAYTTATGAACTCCTATAAAAGACTTAATTTGGAGAATTGATCACTCATCAGTCTTAACCATTCAGCCTTTCATTTGGGCTTTTAYCAGGTGGGTCAATTGGTGAACTGACGTTTTACCAATAGCCATTCGCTCCCCTCTTCACACGCAGGGTCCCGTGGGAGCCAGTGCTATGGCAGCCTCCCAGAGAAGCAAAGGGCACATGCCACTTGTGGTTTGCATGTCCTGTGAAGCCCAGCCRTGGGCCTCATGGTCTTGCAGATAAYGGAGCTCAATTAAGAAACCTTCTTCCTGAGTGTGGGCTTCTCCCTGTAGAGAAGAGCTGGAAGAAAAGAGAACAGCTGCCAATATTACTATGTATCAATCATTTCACAAGAAATGCATGGAGGTGCTCATGATTTAATTATGCCAAAGTAATTAAAGAATTAGGTTACTATCTTCATCTACCCYCAGAAGAGGACAAGCACTATTCAGTCTCCAGAGGTCTTTGGGAAAGACTGAGGTAGGTATCGATTTTTGATAACCCTGTTGGGACATCTGCTAAAATTTCCTATAAGTGGTTTAATCCTATATGCATTTTTAAATGTGTTATTGAGATTTTTAAAATTATTTTCAGATAACACTTGCATGGAATCCAATGAAATTAAAGACAAGGTGACATTTTAAAATATATTTAAACTTGTGGAATCACAGATCATTCCAGAAGTTAAATCTGCTTAGGTTTTTTTTTTTTCCTTCATTGTTCTTCTCCCTAGGGAAAAAAAAAATGGAATAGAAATTGTATGTTGGAAGCTCAGGTCTCTCTCCTTAACTCAAATACTAGTACATTTCTAATTGAGCAAAATGACATAAAATGGTATACGTATTCACCTCCCCTCCCCACACTAGTGAACCTAGCTCTCATATCCATGCTGCACGAGGCCCATGGGGTGGAGGCTGGCAGTCTTGGAGGGGCTTCAGGACAGTGTTTTCTGCTGGCTGAGGCAGGGGCTCTGGAAGGAGAGTCCACCTGAACCCCGTGGCTGCACTTCTTGTGCAGAGAGCAGCTGGCTGTGCCYTGCTGTGGCTTCGCTGCTGGCACAGAGGTACAGGGAGGACTGGCTGGTGCTGGGGGACTCCAGGGTCAGGGGGAAATGCTCCTTCTGATCCCTGGAGGCACTGGTCCCTTGGGAGGCTTCTCCTTCAGCTGTGCTGCCAACACTGCCTGAATAGTGCAGCAGCCGCAGCCCCTGCCCTGGGTCTTGTCGGTACCAGAACATTGCATAATGGTTCAGGTTCTGAGAACACTCCAGGGTTGTCTTTTTTCCCGTGTGTAGGATAAGGTGTCGGGGCCTCTGGGTGATCACAGCGTCCACGAGGCCTGTGGAGAGGGAGCCACAGGCAAAGTCAAGACTGAAAAAGTGTCTGTATCTGCAGAGGAAAGGGAAGTTGGGAGCCTGGACTTAAAGCCATGACAGGGTTTTCCAGCAGCTGCAGAACTCACCTGTTCCCAGGAGACAAAGCGTCACACAGAAGAGTCCGGGGTTCATGCAGGTCCCCATGGAAAGGAGCTCTCCCAGCTGATGCTGTGACCACAGGATGACAGCTGGGGCTCTGAGGCTGCTCTCCAGTCACCTGAGAGGTGGGGCCCTCATGCCGCTCCTCCACACCCTGTGGGCTCTCCCTGGCCCAGGGGCCTCCCCACTGGCTCAGGCAAGTCAACCACTCCACTCATGGATGCTGCTGCTTGGCAGGAACTGGGGGACGGGGGTGTGGCAGCAGTGCACTGGGCTGGGGCTCCCCACCTGTGGTTTCCCTYTTCCTCTGGGGCAGTTTGTGCTCATCTGTAGCTGCCCTGCCACCTGCAGCTAGGTCCTGCCCACATTCTTCAACTGTGCATCTCAGCTTAGAGGGACCTCCTACCCCTCCCAGCGATTAGGTAGCCGAATAATAACTGAAACTTCTCTCACCAGCCTGATGTGGGACCCAAGTCCAGGCTGTTCTTAACCACTTCCCTCCTGTGTGCTCTCCCAGACTCTCCCTAGACACCACAGGAGCCCAGTGGCCTCACAGTGCCATCTTGTGGCTATTTCCTGAGACTGTATTCTCTGCCTAATTAGCGGGGAAAGATTTTCAGAAGTCGTGATAGATTAGTTTTAGGATCAGTTTCCTTAAACCCTGATCCCAAYACTGATTCTAGTCCTGAATATTTCTTTCATTTGCCACATTTCAGAAAACACCSTCATCTTCTCTCACAGACGTGGCAGTTCTTGTCTTAGATTTTCTTTCTTCAAACTATCATTAAAGACAGAGAGAATAAGAGGAATGGGGGGAAATGATATTTATTGTAAACTATTAGTAAGGAAAACACAGGAATTAAAGTATAATATTACTCATGATAACAAAAATGCCAAGAAATCCAAACCACCATAACCAAATCATTACTTCAAAAATATAAATGAGCAAAGAACTGGGCTAATAATGAGATCATTTTTTTTAAGACAGAATCAAATACGTGGATAAAAGGTTAATTATAATGTAAGRAAATGTGGGCTAACTTTAAGGCAACAATCATGTACAGAGAAGTCTCATGGGGAAGGCAGCGGTGGACAGAGGGAAGGAGGACCAAGGGCATCCTACRCCAAGAAGGACTTGGACAATGCACACCTGCTGATGTGAGCAGCTGGGAGGGAGAGATGGTTCTGGAAGAAGCAGAGGAGCAGAGAGGGCTAAAGGCAGGCTGGTGCAGAGTCAAGCTCAGTGTGTCAGGAGACTCTGTGCTGGATTACAGAGCTGTGTTGGCCCAAAGGACCATCTCCATCTCCAAGCATCTGCTCCTGCATCCCTGGCTCCACCCTAGGTTAGACCAAGTCTTCCTTGGACTCCCAAAACCAAATCATGGCTCCATCATGTTGGCTACCATCTTCAGGAGAAGAAATGTCTCCTTCTTTTGATATCCCCTAATAATGAYGTAGACTTCTCTTATGGGCTGATCACAGGCTGTTTATTCTTAGAGCTTTTCATTTCAACTAGACTGAAAGAGTTGCATGTGGACAATTAGCCTTCAATGACACCTTCTTCCTAGTGATACCGCCAGTGCTCAGTGACTTATTCTGCTTTCTCACATGTTGAAGTTTGAAAGATAGAGAAGCAGCCCAGGCAAGCATATAAAGCAGGGTTTATTTTTAAAAGTGGTAACATAGACTTCTCCTGGGAGGGAGAAGGGGACCATAGCTGGTATCCTAAGAAGCGAGGTGCTCTGCCCTTTCTATATGTCCTAGGCTTCCTTTGTTCTCCTGCCCTCTACCCTTCATGTTTCTCCTTCCTGAGTATGTGACTAGGCCCAGGAATGCTCACTAGGTGGGACAGTCAAAAGGTGGGAAACAGGTGGGCTGAAGGGGGAAGGGCAGGATGGAGCAGCCCAGGACACATTCATTAAGGACTTTATAGCTCCCTGTTGGAAGGGGCAATTCCTGGGACAGGTTATCTTAGCAACAGGTTGGAGCAGGGGCAGGTTCTTGGTAAGGGTGGAGGAAGGGCTCTGTAGGAATTAACATTTCAATCCCTCAGGGGACAGTCTCCAACTTCCCAGACTCAGTCAGACTTGGCCTCCTTGATCCGACCTGACTCGATTCACCTATCTATGCTGTCTGCCTGTCTAATTCTGGCTTCACTAGGACTCATAAAGTGATGCTCTGAAAGCTGGTCGAGCCCTGCTGTTGGTCTCACTGTCGTGGACTGCCGGTGAGYAGAAGAGCTGAGTCACTAAATGATTTCTGGATGCCAGTGACTCACAGAAACCTCCCCAAGAGCCATAAACAACACAAATCCAAAGGAATCACCCTCCTAATGGATGTGACCAAAGGATGAAACAGAGGCAAAGAAAATGCTATTAAATATTTGAAAGGAATCTCAGAATCCCACATCCTGCCCAGTGCCTGGGAGTGCTTCTGTGGTCTCTTTCCATTCAAAAGACAGCTGATGTCCAAGTCATCCTGTTTCCCTTGTAGGAAAAACAGCAAAGAAAGAACACTAGGTGTCTCAGAGCTTCAAGGACAGAGAAGGATGAGGTTTGTGAGCAGGACAGAGGAGCCTGTGCCACACTGTGGCTGAGCTGCTGGCACAGAGGTACACAGCCGAGTCCCCCRGCTCTGTGAGCTTAATCTCCAGAGTGGAGAAGGATCCCTGTGGCCTCCCAGCAGAGAACCGCTCACTAGGCATCCCTGACTTATCTGCTGCACGTTCATACTGGAAAGACATCAAGAACTCCAGGCCTTGCCCCAGGGTCTGTCAGTACCAGTAAAGGCTAATGTGTCCAGGAACTGGATCACACCTGAGAGCTATGTTCTCTCCTGTCTTTGTGACCCTGTGCCTGGGGGACTGGGAGACTCCAGCATGGGTGTGGTCTGTGGAGAAAGAAGATGGGAAAAGAATGAGAAAAATCTTATAGTCAACACGCACGCTCGCGCGCACACACACACACACACACACACACACATAATACATGTGAGTACACACATATGCACCCACACACATACAATGAACCTGCTTGTTCTGAGTGATTACCTGCTCCCAGGAGACAGAAGCCCACCCAGAAAAGGACCTTGGTGCCCATACAGGTCAGGAGTGACTGAGGCTCACAGAGCAGGGTCATTGCTAGCAGCATCAGAGGAAGAGGGCTGTCCCTTGTCACCACAGTGACTTCATTTCCTCTATCTATCCCCTCAACTTCAGAACACATGATTTACATTAGAAACTACATAGATGACACGTTTAAATATTTATAAGCCTCTAGTGAACAAAACCAATGCATGGGTCATAAATTTCTGCCTTAGTGCTACAGGATACTGAGGTCTCACATTCCGTGTTCTTTCCAAAAATAAAGAACAAGGGGTTCCTATTCACTTTATATATATATATATATATATAAAATATGTAAAATATATGTGATGTATAAAATATATAACAACAGATATTCCACAGAGACAGAATTATATATGCAGATTGTACACTTATTCAGTAACATATTTTAGATACAAAACTCCTCTGACAAATTATCTGCAGGAATGAGAGCTCATAGGCTTATGTCTGTTCAACAAGTGGCTCTCTGTTCTAAACCCACAGCAGACCACCTCACACCTCCAGACTCACTCTCACATATTCGGAACCCTGGACTGGGTAACTGGGAACTGAAATGTGAAAACAATTAGTGAGACAGGGCAAGTGAGATGGGGGCAAAGGACAGGTAGCCGATCATCAAAGAAAAGGTAATGGGTAGATGGCACTCGCCCATCAACTGGTTGCTAACCTCTGGAGGAGGGGAAGGATGGCACCTTCCAACATTCCAACACAAGCAATCTCCCCCTGGATGGCTCTTTTCCTTGCCCTAGGCAAGATATGAGGAGGAGCTGACTGAGAAGAATGGAAATGTAAAATCTCTAAAGGGGCAAGATGTACCCACACTCACTGGCCCCAGCTCAGGGTACAATCCTCTCTGCAGGAGTTTCTCTCTCTCTCTCTCTCTCTCTCTCTCTCTCTCTCTCTCTCTCTGTGTGTGTGTGTGTGTGTAAGGCTTGCATCTGAAATGTAAGCTACAGAGGTCATTATCCCAAACCAGTTTGAGAACACAGTGGAAAAAAAAAGTGTCAAATTTAAATTCAAGCCACCGTAGCACATAAATGGCTAGCTATCTTACCTGCTCTCCCACTCTACCACCCCGCTTTCTTAACAAGTTCCAACCTAAACATGAAACAGAGAGGAAAAATAGAATGATCTCATGTATACAAGTCTTCTTTTCCTTGAAAATCTTTACCTGAGGATTTTAGGACTCTCACACTCTTTAAATATCTGGACTGACTCTAATCTGACCCAAAGTGCACTATGATATGATAAAGATGTTCTTTACTAGAGTAATTATTGCCATTTCCTTGTTTTAGAATGCTTGGATTTTTAAAAATTTCTGTATCTTGGAGCTCATGGTTTTATGTTGAATTCACATTTGATCCTGTGTACCTAGATTAATATTTTTCTGATCAGTCTTATTTTATTTAATTATAGAGATTTTCACACTATGTCTTTTTTTCAGAGGYCAATTTTCAAGGGTTAACTCTCAATACAATGAAAAATCTCCTTTCACAAAATCCTAGAAGGACACAGACATGGTGATGTTGGGAATAAATCTGATATCTGTCAAGGACAAGTGGCCACCTGAACCTTTGATTTCAGTATCCACCATGGCAGTTTAACATTTACAAYTGCACATTCCTGTCCTATATTTAAGTCATAATATAAAAGTCTGACAGGCTGTATTGTCATTTCTAATAGGTTAAATCTAATCTGCCACCATGTTGCCGGAACATTCCAGGCATGATAGGGAGGCTAGAGATCTGATTTCTCACAAAAAGTGAGTGATATAATAATGAGGCCCAAACAGAGAGGAAATGAATTAAGATTTCCTTCTATAAGGATTCTAGGCTTCAGTTTTTAACACTTAGGAGTGAAGCATTTTAAAAATGGCTATAAGCTCTTACCTGTCTCCCATGAACATGTGAGGTTTATGTCTCCT